GTTGTTCCCACCTGTGAGTGGCCTGCGGGCCCTTGGCCTTTCCTCCTCTCCTCCTGTCCGCTCCCAGTCTCCTCCTATGTTTGTTCCTCCGTTGCCTCCTCCTGACGACCGTCCGGCGGTCTGGTCTTCTCCTCCTCCTCAGTCTCCTCCTCCCTCTGTCCGTCGCGACTTGATCACTCGTTGTCCTCCGCATGCTCGTCACTCGTCCCCTGTTACTGACCTCCACACTGCCCTCCTTTGTTCGTCTCGTCGTCGTTCTCCTTCTCCTGTGTCCGTTCTCCCGTCTCCTCCTCCGTCCTCTCTACCTGCCCTCCCCACTCCTATCTCTGACTACTACCGCGCTGTTCGTCCTGTTGCCGCTCGTGTCCTCACCACTCTTGTCACCGACCCTCGTTTCCCTCCGTCGTCTGTCTCGGCTCTCACTGCCGCTGTCGCTGAGTTTGCTGCCGCCAGCCGCCTTGACTACGCCACCCGTGTGGTGCCAGCTCCTCCCTACCGTCCTCTGTCCGTCGGGGGTGGGTTTGCCCTTGGCTGTGACGTCCTAGAGGACAGAGAGTCTGAGCTGGAGTACTGGGCAGCCGCTTCTCCCTCTGTGTGTGCCATGCTGCTCTCCCCTGAGGGAGACCCCGACGCCCTTGACATACCGACTCCTCGCACTTACCGCGAGGCAGTGTCAGGGGCGTGGGCCTCTCAGTGGAAAGCGGCTATGGACTCAGAGTTGGCGTCTTGGAGATCCACAGGCACCTACGTCGACGCAGTTCCCCCTCCCAGGGCGAACGTAGTCGATGGCATGTGGCTCTTCAAGGTGAAGCGGCCGCCTGGAGCACCGCCGGTGTTCAAGGCGCGCTACGTGGCTAGGGGTTTCAATCAGCGTGAGGGAGTTGACTTCTTCCAGACCTTCGCCCCGACCCCGAAGATGACTACTCTTCGGGTGTTACTCCACATAGCAGCGCAGCGAGACTACGAGCTGCACTCCCTCGACTTCTCCACTGCGTTCCTCCAGGGCCGACTGCACGAGGAGATCTGGCTGCGCCGTCCTCCTGGCTTCACTGACACCTTCCCACCTGGGATCCAGTGGAGCCTGAGGCGACCAGTCTACGGTCTCCGCCAGTCGCCCCGTGAGTGGCACGACACTCTTCGCTCCACGCTTCGTGACCTTGGGTTCAGCCCGTCCTCCGCCGACCCGTCGCTGTTTGTTCGAGCGGGTTCTACTCCTTTCTTTATCCTTGTCTATGTCGACGACTTGGTGTTTGCTACAGCAGACAGGGCAGCCCTGGCTCAGGTGAAGTCCGAACTGCAGAAGAGACACAAGTGCACTGACCTGGGTGAGCTGCAGCGCTACCTTGGCCTGCAGATCACCTGGGACAGAGCCGCTCGCACCATCACACTGACGCAGTCACACATGGTGCAGCAGGTCCTTCGACGGTTCCACTTCCAGTTCTCCACCACACAGCCCACTCCTCTTGCTGTTGACCACAGACTCACGGGCCCCTTTCCTGACGAGCCCTTTGAGTCCAGTGGACCCTACGCAGAGCTGGTGGGCTGCCTCATGTACCTGATGACTTGTACTCGACCGGACCTCGCCTTTCCACTCAGCATCCTTTCTCGCTTTGTTGCGACTGGGAGACACCACCCTGTCCACTGGACAGCTGCTGTGAGGGTGGCGAAGTACCTGGCGACTACATCAGGCTTGGGGCTTGTGCTTGGAGGGACTCAGCCAGTGGCGTTGACTGGTCACTGCGACTCTTCCTACGCTGACGACGTGGAGACTCAACGTTCGACTCAGGGTTACTGCTTCAGTCAGGGAGCTGGTGCTGTGTCGTGGAGGTCTACACGGTCGTCGTCTGTGGCTACTTCCAGTGCAGAGGCAGAGATCTACGCTGGTGCCATGGCGGCACAGGAGCTTCGCTGGTTGACCTTCTTGCTCGCTGACCTTGGTGAGCGGCCTCGCTCTGCACCGACCTTGTACGCTGACAACAAGGCCATGATCCTCCTGTGTCGAGAGCCTCGACTGGAGAGCAGAGTGAAGCATATTGACATGAGGTACTTCCTCCTGCGAGAGCTGCAGCGACGCGGTCAGGCACGCCTGGACTTTGTGGCCTCAGAGGCCAACACTGCAGACGTCTTCACCAAGGCCTTGGCGCTTGGTGACCACCACAGGTTCTGTGTGCAGTTGGGGCTTGTTGAGGTAGGCCCTCGGTTGGTGTAGTCCTGTTGCTTGCTCTGCTTGTTGTGCTTTGTATTTATATCCTAGTGAACTCTTGAACTGGCCTTGTGGCCGCTTGCTTGCGCTCGGAATTTGTGTGGTGTCCTTGAGATCCACCTTGAGCTTGCCTTGGTTCTTGCTTTGACTGGTCTTGTGACCGTTTGTTCACCTTGCTTGCTTTGATGCCCCTCACTTAGCCTATGGGGGTGTGTCTAATGTTGAACATTGATATGATAGGCTATAGTGAGTTGCACTCTAGGGGGTACAGCTTCTAGGGTTGCTCATTTGTACCCCATTCGTTTCTATTCCAATCATTCCGTTGTTCGCTAACTTTGAGAATCGCCTTATGCCCCCTCTTTCCACACTGGTAGCACGCTCCAAACGCCTTTGTCGCATTCACCATAGCCGACCTCTCCTCGTCTAATTCCGCTGCTGCTGCCGCTTTCTTTTTCCTCATCTCCTTCACCGTCTCAAGCGATTGCAGAATCTCCTGCAGCTTCGTCAAACTCTCTGGCGGTTGGTACGTAAACATACCGATGTCGAATTCCCACTCCTTAGGAAGGCCTTGGATGATATAGTCAATCATCTCATGCTCCGTCTCCGCGGCTCCCATCACCCGCAAATCGTCGTTGTAGCTTTTCGCCCTGTTGATGTAGGTGATGATTTTATCGCCTTTCTCCATGCTCAGCATCAGCAGTTGCTTCCTGATCGCCTTCTTGTTTACATCGTTCGTACCCATGTACGTGGACTCCAGGTACTCCCACGCTCGCTGTGCAGAGTTCAGCTCCCCTGCAAACTGGTCCAAATCCACTGCGATTCTATCGGCAACTGAGTGACAAAGCTGAAAGAACGCTTGCTTACTTTGTTTCTTGAACGCCGCTATTTTCTCCTTCGTATCCGTCGTGGAAGGCGCAACTCCCTCCATCGTCTCCTCGTCGGGACGGTAGTACGGCAAGAGGTCACACGGTAGTACCTCCTCTGCCCTTCGAATGAACTTCTTCCGCCACACGTTGTAGTTGCTCCCATTGAAGCGCTGAGCTTCACTGAGCCCGATCGTCGGTTTCGCCACCAATCGGCCACTCGCAAGGGCCTCGAGAAGAGTCTTCAACTGCGGGTCTCCAAGACTCACACTGGAACCCGAACTCGCCTCGTCTCCCATAGCGTAGGCGTGAACGACTCCTCTTCTCCACTAATTTCACTTAGCGCACCAAGTGAATTTACGACGACCGACGCGACCGTTCGCCAAGCTCTGATACCAGTTCTTAGGATCGTAAACACCTTAGTCGGCAATAGTCTACTTGCTATTGCTTATCGTGTTCTCCACGATCTCCCAAATCCAACGATATGCGCAGCTCTGCTTGAAGTTGTCAATACACACTTCAGCAATTTCAGAATCTCAATGTTGTCCAATGTTGTGTTTTCCAGAATGAGTACAAGCAGTTTTATAGTCAGGCAAGACACAAAATGCGATTCGTAACTTCACTTGTTTCCCAAGTAACCGCGTGCGCCTCGTTTCACCCAGAGTCGCACACGGAACTGAACCGAATGCACCGAACACTTCTTGAGTCCGAATCTCGAACCTTCTCGAACGCGCCTCAAGCTCGAACCACAATTTCCCCCGTCGATCTCATTCTCGATGCTTCTCCTTCTCTATTCCTCCTTCCTGCACATTCCTTCTCGATTTCCTTCCCGCTTCTCACGCCGTAGCTTCTATTCTCCACCGTAGGTCGATTTCCACCGTCTTAGATCTAAAATCTCCCACGCGCTCCATTTCGCCGTCATTCCGCATTTCGCCGTAGGTTCCGTGGTTGGGCGAACCAACCCTAACAGTCGAAAGCAGCTATAAGCAGCAACCGTGCACGGATGCATGGCAGGAATATTGATTGCATTCATGGCGTCTATGAATTCTCGAGTATGTCGTGCAACAAACCAAAGCAGCTAACGCTTCACAGCTGTTCGCGAACAAATGAGCCGCGATCGTCACGACGTCATAACGAAATCGTTACAAGCGTACCCTCTCACAGATATGACGATTTCGTTCTCTTTCGCCTGGCTGTGTGCAATAAGGGTTGCCTCGACATGGCAGTTGGGGACTTCGTTTCCCTCGGCTCTGGTGCGATTTTGCATCATGAGAACCACCTGACAATATCAATCTGCTTTCCATTTCAGTTCATTTGGCCACTGAAGCTGGCCTAAAACTAGAGAATAAGCAACCATTGATGCACAATGAGAACATCTAGTGCTGCATCAAACAATTGACAGCACAGCTGAGGTGGCTGCACACCTGTCAATCCGGCTTCTAACCTAACCCAACTAGTGTCCAAAACAGCCTACACAATGGCAGCTAGCAGAATTCTTTAAGAAGCTGAAGCTAACTAATAGAAAAACGGTGATGGCTTGTGCCAGTGGTGCTCACCAAATAAGGTGAGCACCCTTCTCATGCGCGACTGCCAGGCCCCTAATTTATCAACCTTGCATTGCCATCTCAGGTGCAATCTGATTCAATGACGAAAAAACGGGTGTAGATGTGCGAGTGCATGGGTATGGCGCAGATGTAGTTGTCGACGAGGGCTTAGATGAGGATGTGGATGGGTATGGTGAATGGAACAGCAAGGCGGGGCAAAGAGCAGCCAAGTCGCGGCTCCTCACATACCGTTGGTTCAGCCACGGGTGCTCCAGCACCTCGAGCGAGCTCAGCCGTTGATCCGGGTTGATGCAGAGCATTCGACGGATGAGATCTTTCGCTGCAGCAGAGATGGGTTTCCAACCAGGAGACTCGAAATCAATGTGCAGACTACTGTTCATGTCCACCAATGCAAGACTGGAATCTGGGGGCTGAAGATTAGTGGATGTGACTGTATGGAAAGTGGCACTAGTGAAAGCAGGGGCACCGCTAGTGTAGCTGTGTGCAGCATGTGCCATAGGTGCAGAGGTCTCCTGGGTATGCTCGTTTTGAGACTGAGATGCCATCACAAGCTGCTGCTGCTGCTGCTGTTGGTGGTAACTCTGCTTCATCTTCTGCCCTCCCTCGTGCAATGCTGTCTGCTGCGAATACTGGTTTTGACCTGCCCACATCTGCCACCCTCCCTGCTCCCCCTGCTGCTTCCTCACCTCCACCCCCACATCACCCTCCCTCTGCTGCCACTGCTTCTGCTGCTGCTGCTGCCACTGCTGTTGCCACTCCACATGCTGCTGTTGCTGCTGCTGCTGCTCCAGCTGCTGCTGCTGCGCATGCAGCATGGCCAGCAGCTTACCCGGTTTGACAATGGGCAGACGGCCTGTGAGCATGGAGCACAGAGTGATGCCCATGCTCCACACATCCGCCTTCATGCCGTAGCTGCACCCTGCATCCCCTGCATACCGAGCACCCACTGCATCCCCTGCACCCTCTGCATCCCCTCCAACCCCTCCATCCCCTGCATCACCCCCGCCCTGAACCGCTTCCCCGTTGCCCCCCGGCTCCCCCCCTCCCCCCTTCCGCCGCTCCCTGGCCATTTTCCGCCGCACCTCCAGCAGAAGGATCTCCGGCGCCATGTACTGCCGCGTCCCCGCGCCCCTGTCCGCCATCGCCCCGCGCATGCCCCCCGCCACCAATGTGGACAGCGCAAAGTCCGCCAGCTTCACCCCCCAGATGCCCCTCTCCGCGCCCACGTGCGCCCACCCCGCGCCCACGGCAGAAAACGAGTTGCTTTCCGCGGAAGCGGGCGGGAGCGGGCAGCGCTTCTCCCCAAAGACTCCGCCGGCGGTGAATGTAAGACGGCAGGGAGTGGAGGGTGTGGGAGTGCGTGATAGAGAGTGTGACACAATCGCGGGAGGGAGGAGGACAGACGTGGGGGAGGGCATAGGCGCAAAGGGGATAGAACTGGCTGAAGAAAGCGAGGGGAAAGCGGAAGAGCTGGAGGAGTGCGCTGATTGCGCGGTCAGCGCTGCGCCAAGAGTCCCCTCCGCCTCCTCCCCCGCCATGGGATGAACGCGCGTGCTCTTCCCCGCGAACCGCCTCCCCACAACCTTTCCCGGAACGACCCGCAGCGGACTGTTGGCGCCCCTCCCCTGCGCGCCGAGCCCGTCGGAACTCGCGCCTCTGCCCGCGGCGGAGGGGAACAGCCGCGCGCCGATGAGCCACCCCCACAGCCCCTCCTCCGCGCGAGGCTCCCGCGCGGCCCTCCTCCCCCCGCCCGCTGGCGGCAATGCGGCGCTGCTCGCTCCAATAATGGCTCCGGCATTCATTACAGCCTTGGAAGGCGTAAGGCTACGTGGTTTAAAGCTTGGCGGGTCAGCCGCTCCACGTGCTTTCCCCGCAATGGCTGCTTCTCCGCCCGTCTGCCTCGCGGCAGTTCTCTCCGTTGCTCCTGCCATCTGCTGCCCCGTCGCTGTCCCCGCGCCCATCGCCGCCGCGACGCTCGTCGCACATCCTCTCGCATGTTCCGTCGCAGGGCCCGTCGCAATGCGAGGCCCGCCGCGGGCGGAATCAGGAGGCCGCAGCAGAAGCACGTTATCAGGCTTGATATCCCGGTGCATGACCCCCGACGCGTGGCAGTACGCGACAGCCGATGCGAGCTGCCGGAACAAAGCCGACGCGAGCGGCTCGGCGAGCGGGCCGCGCTGCAGAATCTCCGTGAGGAGATCGTCGCCGGGGACCAGCTCCATCAGCACGTGCACGCTCGCGTCAATCGAAGGACTCAACGGCTGAGATGCCGCGGGTAAAATCGGAGCCGCGGATGAGTTATCAGGTTTACACGAGTTATCTGACTCTGCTGCGTTACCTGCCCTTACACCTGCTCCTATTTCCGCGTCTCGGCCGGCTGCTCCGCCTGTCCCTCCGCATGCTACTCCGCCTGCTCGGCTGCTTCCCTGTCGCCCAACGACCACGTCGTGCAGTCGCACGATGTTCGGATGGTCGCCCACGATCTCCAGCGATCGCACCTCCGCCGCGATGTCGCGCATCGGGGCCTGCGCCATCGCGTAGCTCTTGCATGCGACCCGCTGCGACGTAAAAACGTCTTCGCATTCCCACACGACCGCCTGCGACCCCGCACCGACGCGACGGATGCGACGGTATCGCCCACCAATCATCTCGTCGCCCGAAACGTCGCCGTTACATTTCTCTCCCGCGCTGCCTACATGCTGTGAAAACTTCGATCCATCAGCGACACAGTCGGCGCGCAGTGAATCGTTGATCGGGGAAGGAGCAAGCGGCGCTGGAGCGCGCGCAAAATCCAAGAAGCTCTCCGCATGCCATGCGCGATGCGATTCAGAGGGAGGCTGCGACTCCGCGTGGGTCATGAAGGCGGGGAACACCTCCTTTGGCGCCTCTGATTGGCGCAAGCTGCGGGGTGTGGAGATTTACGTCAGCGCTGTGACGGTCTAAGCTACACGGAGATGCTATACGAGAGCCACGTGGCTCCCCGGTGAGGCGCGCTGCCTACCCTGCTCGGTGCGTTGCGTCTGTTCCGTCTTTTCCGCCGTCTGTTCCGCCGTCTGCTCTTTCTGTTCCGTCTACTCCGCCGTTCGTTCCTTCTGTTCCGTCTGCTCCGCCGTCCGTTCCTTCTGTTCCGTCTGTTCCGCCGTCCGTTTCTTCTGTTCCGTCTGTTCCGCCGTTCGTTCGGTCTGATGCCTACGTTCTGTATGCTCACTCTCTCTCTGTTCACCCTGTTAGCCTGCTCAGCCTCTTGATTTCAAGAGTGATAGTGGCATCATGAGGAGTAGTCTGCAAAACGCGCAGAGAGATAAAGCACTCTAGAAGCACCTACGCATAACCGTCTGACTCTAAATTGTAACAGACTTCGCTATGTCAACGGAGGGGACACATCCGGGTACCAGGGAGGGCCAAACGAGCTCTGAGGCACCAGACAAGCGATAATCTCCTCCGTAGACCAAGACTCCTATCCTTGCCACAGTAATGGTGGATTGACTTCTCGTGACTCGTCCTGCTGCTTGCTTGTCATGGCAATAGGTGGAGCATTTCCCAGCCCTGGGTCTCAGCAAGCAAGGCTGCTGGCGGCGGCAAGAGGGCACAAACAAATATCGCAGGATTGGATAGCAGAGTGGTTCACCGACGATAAAAGACGAGGCGCAGGCGCCCTGTGTTTCTAATCCGAGGGTGGCTGAAAACGGAGCTATGCTGGGCGGGAGAGAGGGGGGAATGGGGACTGCTATGAAGTTGGTGATGTGATTGACTCGAAAGTAGCGAAGCGCGCAGGGAGAGAGGTTAGAGTAGAAAGCGACAGTTTGAGGTTGCCCTTGGCTGGGCAGCACGTAAAGATGGTGACAAGACGTGTGGGGATCTGTTGCGACAAACTCATGCTTGAAAAAAAAAAAAAAAAAAGTCTTCAGTTGTGCACCAGTGCACCAGTGCACCAGTGTGGTCTTCAGACATGCTTGCTAGTGCACCAGTGTGGTCTTCAGTTGTGCATAAATCCAACTTCTACTTGTCAATTGTTTCCCCAAACAGAACTTCGCGAACAGGGCTACTTTGAAACAATAAAAATTCCAGCACGAAGTCGCACGATGTGGCGCTGGCGGTTCGAATGTTTTCCCAGTTTGCGACAAAATGAGGATTTAGGTGCGTGCGACGCTCATCCGGCTTGTGTCGCGAAGAAACCAGGGTGAAGTTCGCACATGAAAATATGAAGGACCGAAGACCGCAAACGGCGGCGCATCACTTCAAGTGTTTCGCGAAGGTGGCACAAACGAAAGCTCTGACGCTTGAAGGATGAAGCACCGAACTCGTTATAGCTGAGTAACACGCTCAAGACAAGCAAGTCAACTTCGCAACAGCACAATACAAGCTGATTTGACCGCCTATCTAAGTTTGGCAGTGTTTTTGTTTTAGCGCTTTGTTATGGTAGTAAGTAATAATTAGGTAATGTTAATCCCCAAACGCAGAAAAGAAACATACTGCTGATTAAATGATATTTTTTATCAGCCTTTTTGGCTGAATGATGATGATGATCACTTGTGAACAATGTGGTGTTTGATGCAGGTGGTGTGATGTGATGGTTAGAAGTACGAATCTATGGTGAATATGTGCTGATCATCTAAAACAGTCGTATAGTTTTACCGAGTCTCACCATGATCCGGTTTATCAGTCGGACGTCGTCCTTCGGTTGACGTCGCAGGGTAGGTGCGCCAATAATTTCGCGCATCAATAATTCCCCATTCCAGTTCCAGCTGAAAGATCCCCATGATTGTTTTCTGGGCAGAACACCGAATTACATAAGCTTTTGAGCCCTCCGGTGTTGGTGTTGGTTTAGTGTGGCCTGCTGGAACATGCGGTGTACGTTTTTGCAAATCCATTATTTCTTGGCAGCTTCGGGCAGCTTCAGCTGTGCAATGAATTGGGTGCGACTCGACGAACGCGCATTTTGAATCCCATCCGCCTTGCTATCGCTCTCCCATTCGTTCTTTGCTCTCCTCCTTCCTGTCTCATCACTTGGTTGTGCTTTTCTCCAAAAGAGCTCCGACCACTTCCCTTCTAGTTCCTGGGACCCAACATTCGTGTCGCGTCTGTGCAACCATTATTCCACCGAGCATCTCGTGCGTCTATCTCATCCGGTTTCCTTGAGATCCGCTCACCCGAAAATTTCCAGCCCTGGGCTCTTTGAGAAGTCAATCACATCTCTCTCATTTTCAGCAAGACGTTGAAGTGCGGTGATATACCACGGCAAGTTGGGAAGGACAGACGAACGGAAGCACCTCAAAGGTGCCCGCACTAGTTTCGCTGATTCAAAAAGGTTCTCAATTTCTTCCTGAAAGCTGCTTCGCGGCTTCAATATTCTACCGAATTCTCAACACAACCTTTCATCCTCACCAGAAACACACGTCACATCTCCCTCAACCTCCTCTCGGAATATCTCAACTTCCGGGCACCCGCAACCGCGGCGCGAGACCCATTTCCGCCGGCAATGAGCCCCGCGCCGCCGGAGCCGGAGGGCAGTCCCGCGGGGAGCCCGACTGCCGACACGACGATGAGCGATCTCATTGGCGGGCGGTACCGGCGCATCCGCAAACTCGGCAAGGGCTCGCAGGGCAGCGTGTGGGAGTGCGAGGACGTCACCGCGCCACCCTGCGCGCCGCGCGTGGCGTGCAAGACCTTCCCCCTGTCGCACTCCGCCATAATCGACATCCGTGCGGAGGTGCGCGCGCTCGAGATGGTGGGCGACCATCCCAACGTCGTGCGCCTCGTGGATTTCATTGTCGACGCCGCGGCAGCGGAGGTGCATGTAATGATGGAGCTTGTACCGGGCGGCGATCTTCTATCGGAGGTGATGCAGCGCGGTCCGCTTGCCGAGCCGCTCGCCGCGACAGTGTTCCGTCAGATCGCGTCGGCCGTCGCGTACTGCCACGCGTCGGGGGTGATGCATCGGGATATCAAGCCGGACAATGTGCTGCTTGTTCGCCCGCCGGAAAACGCGCCGGAAATTGCGGACGCGGTGGAGCGTGCGACGGCACGTGCGACGGGAGATGCTGGAGACGGAAAATCCCGGGCGAAGAAGCGACAGCCGCTGGGCGACATTACGAATCTCCCCCGTGCGACTGCTGCGACGAATTCATCCAAGCTACTGGGGGCGATAAAAACCGTCGCAGCTCCTCCCGGCGTACCCGAAAAGGTCCAGCAAGGGCCGTCCTGGAGCGCGTATCTTCCGCCGTCAATCGCGGCGACGCACGTGGGAGCGGGACGGCGAATCTGGGGAGTGAAGCTCGCGGACTTCGCGCTGTCGACGGTCGTTAAAGGCGGTCTCAACGGGAAGAAGACGGATCTCGGAGCGGGCACGCGGCAGTACATGGCGCCCGAAATGGACCAGGCCGCCGCCGCCGCCGCCGCCGCTGCAGCCGCGGGCGCTGCGGCTGGCGCCGCTGGAGGGACCGGCGTTGCCCGATGTGACAGTAGCGGGGGCTCGTACGGGTTGAAGGCTGACGTGTGGAGCCTCGGAATCACGCTGTGCGCCATTCTAACGGGGCGTCTTCCGGCCGTCGATTCGGCGACGATCGCGCTGCACGATTCGCTGCCGATCAACTTCGTGTCGCCCAGCTGGAAAGGCATCTCCGCCGATGCGAAGAGTCTCGTCCGTCGGATGCTGCGCGTGAACCCGGATCAACGGTTGAGCTCGTTCGAGGTGCTGGAGCACCCGTGGCTGAACCAGAAGGCGGTGCGGCGGCTCGACATCACGGCGCGCTGCCCCTCGCTGCTCTTCTCGGCGTCGCTCTTCCCGCCGCCCTTCCAGCCCGCGGCGTGCCGCCTTATGGCGAGCGCGGGCGGAGCGATGGGCGCCGCGGGGGCTTTCGACACTGCGCAAAAGGCGCGGGCGGCCTGATGACGAAAGGGGGGAAAGTGCACGGGAAATGCGGGAGAAGTTGAGAAGAACAGGTGGTTGCTTGTGTGGTGAGGAGAAATCGCCTAGCATATCTGTTGGCTGCAGCAGTTGCTGGAGGATCGTGTACGCAATATGGCGAGAGGCGATTGTGGTGCACTACTTGGTTCGCCCTTCAGAAGGCAATGGTGGCGCTGCTGGTGCCATGTCAGGTCGAGACATTGCGGGGAATAAAGGAATAAGCGGATGCTGTTGTGGGAAGTTGAAAGCAGCCTTTGCGTTGGTAATCACTTGGGGAGGAGGGGGAGTAAGTTACATTGGAGGAAGGGGGAAATTTGGGGATCATGGGTGAGAGGTCTAGAGGGTGGGATGGGATAGCTTGTAAAGGGGAATGGTTGTCGTAGACAGTTTCAGTCAAAAGCCTCCCTCTACCTTAGCTAATCTAGTCTGCCCTTTCTTTGTCTTTCTCCTTTCGTTTGTCTTCCCTTCTCTGCGTGTTTCTTTTCTTCTCTGATCCTCTCGGTTTTTTCATGCTTCCAAAAAATAACCAAACAAGACCACCCCTCTCCCCACACCCTTTACCTTCCCCGTCTCACCTCAGTCCACACCATTCTCCACCCCATGTATCATTCTTCTTCTCACCTCTCCCAGCGCAACAGCTGTCCTTGTCCTCCCTGTCAGTCCGCCTCCCCCCATGTCCCTCCACTCCGCCATCGCCCTTCGTCTGGATAACAAATCCCTTCTGGAAATATAGACAGTGAAATTTGTGGCTAGTTGCATGCTTTTGTATGCTCACAGAAGCATCAAGTACCTTTACCGTGTTACAGTAGCCCCTCACATGAATTATTGTGCATGTACACGATCTAAGTTAATTATTTTTCATGGTAAGTTGGAAGTTAAATGTTCTAGTTTTGGTCCAGCTTGCAGGGGCCAAATGAACTAGAATGGATAATGGATTGATCTTGTCTGTGG